TATATATATATATATATATATATATATAACATAGATCAAAAGTTAAACAATTTTTTTTAAAAAAAATGGTATATTTGATGAAGAAAAAAAAACATATTTAAGTGAATTTAATAATTTGGATCATGTGTTGTCGACTACAAAGACACAATCATAGATAGTAAATAGAAATTAAATAGAGTTTTATCGTAAAGAGCAATTTCAAAGATTTAGTGGTTATATTGATATTAGTGTGATAGAAGAATATAATTTTTTCTCCAACATGCATGATGAAACATTATCATTACTAAACAATCAAAGAACATCTAATTAGTCCAAACAAAACCTTTCAAATTCCAAAGTTAAGAATATATTATATATATGTATGAATAATTTGGATGACGACAATGTTGTTAGCTGGCATTTTCCCATTAAATTAATTAATTGTAAAAGGGCCCATGTCACGTCAATGTATGGTGGGTAAGTGATGATAGGATATAATAAAATATATGAATAATAAATGCATCCATGTGAATAACGTTGTTTCCAATTCCAATTCCAACATGAGTGGACCTCAATGGATAAAATTGTTTGTTGTTTCCTTGTCAAATTTGAGAACTCCATATTCTCTAAACTAAAAAAATCATGAGTACCTCGGATGATACCTATCACAAAAACTTTGAAGTGTTAAGCTAAAAATAAAGAATAAAAATCCGTTTTATATATAAAAATACCCCCTTGTTAAAATAAAATTAAAATATAATCCTTTTAATAAGATGTTTTATAATTTTTTATAATAATTTTTTTTAATCTTTTAATTCTATTAAAGATTGTAATAATATGTTTCTTGTTATTAGATAATGAAGAGAGAGCTCTTCAATTAATTTTGATCGATAAAAAATTATTCAATTATCATTTATCAATTTTATTGATATTAGTATATAAATTTTGTTTTAAAATAATATTTTTACTTTATTCATGAAAATTTAATAGTAAAAAAATAAAATTAATATATAATAATTAATTTTATAAACTTAATAAAATTAATTATCATAATCATTCATGTTTATCCGTGTGTATTTCAATTAAAAATGTCTTATTTATAAAGACTAAGTTATGATTACAATCAATATTTAAGATTTAAATTATTTTCAATTAATAATGTTAGAATTTAAAATTTAATTTTTAAAATATTTATATAATTAAATCAAATAGAAAAAAAAAGATTTCCAATTAATAAACATGGCTATATATAATATTAGTACCTTGTTCAATAGTATATCAATTATGCAGTTCATTAAGAAATTCATAACAAAATAAAGTGTAAAAAATTATTAATTAATATATTTAAAATATACTTATTTTTTTTTATAATCAAGAGTAAAATAATATTCTTATTGCTGTTTTTTTTTTTGGTTTGGTACTAGCTATTTGTTTTTGTTGTTTCTCTTGTTGTTTGTTACATATAGGGATAGTATTGTTGAGTACATCAATGCTACGCATGACAAGAACTTAGTAAACTAAAAAAATTATGTGCGCGTTGAAAAATATTTTTGATTTTAATTATATTAAAATAAACATATATAAACTTAAAATATTTAAATTATTTTATGTTATATTATTTTATGTCAGTATTGTAACCTTCTTAGTATACCAAGTTTAATTTTTATAAGAAAAAAGCTCTTCATATCTTAAAACTACTTTGAAATAAGTAAAATATTGCAATTGCATCTTTGCTAATATAATTTTTTTGGAGAAGCAATCTTTCTTTTTTTTCAAACACTTAAAATTGAAACAATTATTTACTTAAATCAAATAAATTAAACCAAACATTTTCTCAAATCAATATATGCTTCGGTACACTTAAAAACATTCATTACTTCTTCAGATTTGTATTAAAATAAATTGTATAATATTTTTTTCACACAAAAAAATCTAAGATTTTATCTTAGACTAATCATGTTTTGCTAGAAAGTAAATAATATTTTTATATAATAACTAGTGGGTGCGAATAAAATAAAAATATATAGTAAGATGTTTAATATAAAGAGAGAAAAAACAGTGCTATATTTTTTTAACATAATATATATATATATTTTTTATAACTCTGGTTTTTTATAATATAATTATTTTTAATTGACTTGAGAATTATTTTTGCACCACTTTATTTGAGACTTTTAGTGATAAAAAAATGTCATTTTACTTATATAGGTCAACTTAAATAATTTTTTTATGATCCATGCTGTATTCCAAATAAACTCATTTAACACAATGGAACTCTTCTCTTATTTATTAATTTATTCATCATTCATATATACTCCAAACTTTAATTAAACTCCCTTGGGACAGACAGCATTTTAATTTTTTTAAAATATTAAACATTTTAGCTAATAATTTAATATGATTTTTATTTACTTATTAGAAATATTATTTTAACGAAGCTTAAAAGAAAAAAAATCATCGATTATCATTCAAACACTTAACTTTTCTTGATTAGCCTGTTTATAAACGATTATCATTCAAACTTTCATTTTTGTTTTGAGTAAATTAGAACATAAATCATTGCTACTCTCCAAGGCGATTTCAAAGGACCAAAATAATGAAAATCCCTACCCCATCATATTCATTCATTAATTTATTGATGCACTAAAAATTTGTCCTCAAGGCTAGAAGGTTAGCATCATTTTGTTTATTCATAACAACTACTATATTATTTATTTTGAAATTTTAGATAAAAGTTTTTTTTTATTAATTTTGATTTGTTATTTTACAAAAAAAAAAAAAATTATGGAATTTCAGACATAGGGTTTAAAATGAACCCTTTCTTTCAAACCGTTTTTTTTATTATATAATTTTGGTAAAAACTTTGAAGTAAACTATATCCATACGCATACACACATGCACATTTAATTGTTTATATTTACTGATCTTAAAAGATAATAATGTATAACATATATATGTTTTTAATTATGTGAATTATGTGGGATAAGGATTCCTAAAGTATATTCATGCCACATTGTCACCATGACAGCATCATACTGAATCTCATATTGAATTTCATAATTGAACTTGCAAGTTAAGTTTTTAAAAAAAGAAAATATTAATATATAATTGAACTTGCAATGTGCATGCGAATTTAATTGAATATTTTGCGTTAGTTTGCTTTACAACTACGAATTCTGATAAGAGTTACGATAATAACGGAATCAATAAAAAAGCTAAACTCAGATTATGAGTTGGTCATGATCTGCAACTGCGAAGGTTCTTCTCCATGTGGCTTTAAGGTTCTTCCAACTTTTTTTATTAACAATATTAATTCATATATGATTCAACTAATTATAAAAAATAAAAAAGTGTTAAATAAAGTATTAAAAAAGATGGTACTCACTAACAGTCTTTCGAAATTTCTTTTATATATGCACATGATGCACACTTTGCATATATTTTACGTAGTTTATACAACTTGTGTTTTTTCTTTTTCTTCTCTTTTTTACATTTTCTTATGCTTTCAGTATATATATGTCTTTATGTCGGTGGGAAATAGTTAAAGAAATTACTAAATAACAGAAGTTAAATTATATATGTAGTTAAACTAATTCTTATCGTCAAAAAAAAATTCTCATAAATTTTTTTGTGTTAAATAATCATTATATTTAATATATATAAATTGATTTAATTTTTAAAAATACAACTAACTGTATTGTAATTCCTTCAATGAAACTAAACGATGGAACGAAATTGTCTATAAAACTGAATATTATATATATACTAAATGGTAATATAATTTAAAATGATTATTAATGAGGGAAATACAAGGTTATGAAAATCCTATTTAATTTTTAATAAAAAAAAACCTTTTAGTATTAGGTATTTAACTTAACGATTTATTATTATTATTATTATTATTATTATTAGTTAAGTCAAAATACTTCATATTTTTATATTTTATTTAACAAAAATATTTTAAAATTGTTAATATTTATTAAATCAATCAGTATTGTACTTGATTTTTAAAACTTAAGATTTTAAATTCAAGTCTTATATATATCTGTAAAAATAATTAATTTTTATATTATATTTTATTATTTAAAAATTTAAAAATAAATCATTTAAAAAATAGATGATAAATGTTATGGATAGTTATTATATTATTGTTGTTGTAAAAGTAATGTCTCTATATTTTAAAATTAATAGAGTAAGTCGTTGAAGGAGGAAGTTTGAGGTGAGACAGAAATGATTATAACTTATAAAAGTGAAATAATTTAAAACTTGTGAAAAATATATATTTTTATATATAAGTATAAATTATTGTTGCTTTAGATTTTTTATTTTGAATGCGGAGAATGTGTTCCACAAGTTTTGGTTCATGGTAGGTATGAACGTTGAAATAAAGAAGCACGTCAATTCACACTACATCAACTTCAATCATGGCTACAAGTTAGAACCCATCGATAATATTCAAAATAATGGAAGAAATTTAACATAACAACAAATTTATTTGTAATTTTTTCTTCCATTAATTAAGTTTTTTTACAGATTTTTTTAAATTAGTCTAGGTTAAAGTCAATCATCAAAATAATTTACTATAAGCTTGCACTTAAGATTATAATATACTTCTTGACAATTTTTAAATATTTTTCAAAAAAATAAATTCTATAATATTTTAAAATGAATAAAATATCTAATTATTAAACTTTATGATTAATGTGCTAAAAGAAATACTCCGATTTTAAAGTGATTTTACACTACCTTGTCTTCTATATATATATA